GCCATAGCACCGATGACTTCCCTGACTGAGGCGACCACAGGGACCCGGATTGTGGTGTAGGTGTGGTCACAGCAGTAGACTTTGAACAGAACTGGAGGCATGAATCAGAGTAAATATGGGATTGTCAGCAAAAGGGAGCAAAGGAGCAGTAAAACAGTACCATTAGATCAATGCACTGGTTGGCAAGCTAAAGGTCACAACATAAATCTGACAGCTCTGATTTTTATGCAATCTTTGCTTTTCATGGGAAATCCTGGACAGATTTTCTTTAAATTAAACAAGACAAATTGCTTTATTTAAGGGGTCATTTGGCAAACGTTTGGGAATCACTGCTCACATAATAAATTCATTACATAGCACTGGCGTTTTCTGCTGTTACTTTAAAATGAATGAAAACTGCACCTACTCCACCACGAGCATTTGTTCAATGACAACCTGATGAAACGAACGCATTGCTAATTTAAAATTTCAGCTAAGGGATATAATGTAACAATGGCACTGGTGTAGCCACAATATAGTGTCAAGGCCAAACTTGGTATCATGCACTGGCCCATGGTTTTTACTCACTTTCATCATTACCCCTAATAGGCTGACGTTTCTGAAGTTTCTCATCTCCTGTACTGAACGGCTGCAGTAGGACTTTGTTCTGCGACAGAATTTGAAAGGTTCAATCATCACAGCAGTTTTGCATGATGCAACAAAATCTGCACATTTGAAAGAACAAGAGTCTGTCTCTGACCTTTTTCTGTGAGACTTTGGCATCTTCAGTGCTAAAATGTGAAAACAAATAAGTCACAATTAATCAGCCAAGTTCTCTGTGGTTGTTCAACTAACCGCACAAAGCACAGAAACATAGCTCCTTAACAATGACCGGAAACAATACAGAAGGATCATGGTGTCTGCAAAATTTTAAATACGTGATTAAGGCTCCTTGTATCATCAAAGTCTTTTTATCCACCTCACAATTCCTAAAAGACATGACTTACTTGCACTTTACAGTTCTCTCCAACTCTGTTATTTGATCCCTTAGAGCTGGAATCACTTTGGCATCATTGGATACCACCATGAGAAACTCCTGCAAAACACAACAATAAAAAGAAGGTTTAAGTAATACATGAACACACTTCAGTCATCTCGCTGTGGTGGATTGCCAGTGCATCTGCTATCTTATCAAATTTCACTTTCTAACAAAGATCAGAACGGATGCAAGATTTTAGATTTACTGTTTTTTACCTCAGCAGTTTCAGTCTTTGTCATAACTATGTGTTTACATTCTTGAATTTCCTACACATTTACTGTTTTTTACCTCAGCAGTTTCACTCTTTGTCATAACTATGTGTTTGCATTCTTGAATTTCCTACATGTTTATTATTGCCATATACTGTACATCTATCTAGCTCCAAAATATACTATACAAATCATTAATGTCTCAAGCACCACATGTTCATTGAGGAGTCAAAGTAGAGACAAATGGAAGGGAAAAATCACAGAGTACACACATTACATAATAAATCATCATCTGACCTTATTGCTCAGGGTAGCCAAAATCTATAAAGATTAACTTACAGTACAACTGCGCATGTATTATATCATGCTATAAACATTTAACAAAACCAACAGGAAATCCACATCTTTACAAGTCACACCTGTAGATTTGTATTGTCATTACAGTGCACATAGTGAACTGTAGGTAAAAGCATCAGTGAGACTTAGCTAAAGAGCTTGAGTTATATTTATGTAACCAATACCACAAAACTGCACTTAGCTGATCAGTGAGAACTTCTCATGTTACTGTGGATCTAGTTTCTAATAGAAACACCGATTGACTTAATGATGATTACACTGTATTGCTATTGCTACTATTGTGCACAGTGGTTATATCAGCAATCTTGTCTATAGTCTGACTTTTAGGAAAGCCACCGAGACATCGTCCTCCTGCAGGTGATCTCCATGTACAGCAGCCCACTGCAGCACCAGACGGATCACCCTGCGCTTGTTGTTCAGTGCATAGTCCAGTTTCTCCTGTTCAGAGCCCTGCAAAGCCTGTGCATGGTAGGTACACAGCAGTTAAAGATCATAATGATGTAATTATAGCAAGCTAGCACATTTTTTTGTTTTCAGGTCAGTTTCACAGGGCCAGAAAATAACCTGAGGTAACATAGTGCTGAAAGGATATTGGGCCATCAACACAGGATAGAGCTGATCATTTGGGATGAAGACACAGTGCGTGAGCACAAAGTCATCTAAGGCTGAGTCTGTGAAAACAAAACAAGAGATGCCAGTGTAAGAGCAGATCAAAGAGTGTCCAGAGCCATTGAGCCTTGATCCACACAGCCCTGTCTTTGTCACCTCTGCAGGCAAATGAAAACCATATGTATCCACACAAGTGAGAGTAATTAGATCAGCTTTGTGATGGGTGGCTAATTATACATGAGAACAAACAGGTCAGTGCAGAGCAGCAGGCGCAGGACAGGAGAGATGCTGAGCCAGAGAGAGCAGAAAAGAAAATAAATACACAGCATGGAAGAAAACCCTTTGTAACAAATGGCCATCATACTGATAGACCGAATTAGATGGTACTAATCTGACATGCGGTACTAAATGTTTTATGCTGATCAGTACCTGACTCTGTGAATTGAGAATCCAATCGCATCATTTCAAGAAGGTGCTCCAAAATCTTCTCAGGCATCCCCAGCATTACCTTGTATCTGGAGCAACACAGAATAACACACACTTTACTAATCAAGGAACCCTGGCCCCTAATATTTAATAACACAACTACGGCCCTCGACTGATTTGTGTTACTTGAACGTGTGTCTGTGATTGCTTCATTTGATAACAATCCTATTTACAATCAGAAAGTTCTTGGGTGGCTGAAGATTAAGGAGCTGTCAGAAAAGCCAAAAAAAGAAAACATGTAGGGGCACCTTCTATTTGGAGGAGGAACAACATAATCCACCCTCAGTTGTTTTTATTACTTAATAGCAGCATCACAAGAGGGAGCTATACAAGTGACGTTGTGCCTTCCCCGCTCTCGAGGGAGAGCAGTCTTGACACTTTCACTGGGTGAGGAGCACGGTTGATTAGAGGGCAATCCTGAATAAGTAATTGCGACTTTCCAGGACTAGGCCATCATTGCCATTAATACTGTATGTCTCTCGATATTACATCAACCGTGATGAGAGATACCTCTATTAAGATAACACTAGTTGGCTGCATTGCACTGGATTGCACAACATTTTTTATCTGCTGGTCACCCTAAATGATAGAGGCTGATACAGACAAGTATTGTATTTGTAGTCAAATGTGTACAGTGTATTAATTCGCGGCTGAAAATAGTCCCTCATAAATACACTATTTATTCCTCTCTGAGTAATACAGACAAATGGCAGACAATTAAAAAAAAAATTTTCTTCACTGTCTACAATTAAAGCACAGGTGTGTGAAGTGCAGTGGGTGTTGGGAACATCTACTTGTAATGGGAGGAAGAGGCTCCATGGGTGACACTCTTCTCTAATACCAGGACATCTTGACCATGCTCTTTCAGACGCACTGTGTTGGCCTCCACATCCTTCACATGTACACACACACACAGTGAATACAAACAAAATTATATTTGTGGCTTGTATCGATGCTGTTAAGTTGAGTTAAACAATGTAACACAGTCTTAATAATGTTAACAAAACACCAAAAAGCTGCTATGTCTGTACTTCAATCTAATTCTATTTCTGTTTTAGGGAATATGAGCTGTGTCCTCCAAAAGCAAGTGAAAAGAGATGGGTGTCATACACTGACTGGTCACTTCAATAGTCGCACCTGTACAATTGTATGCACTTCAACACAACACTTCCGCCTTAACATCTGTATTTATGAAACTCAAAATGTTTCAGTTTTTGGTGAAATTGTCAATGCATAAATTCAATTATATGATTATTATTGAGGTCATAGTTAAAGGTGGTGTTGTACTGGACTACATTATATACAGAGGTGTTCCTAATAATCTGACCCTCTCATTTATGTAGCTGGGGAAGACAAAAATATAAAGACACCTACAATATAATGTAGTGTATGACACCCTCAGACACTGAGATCATTTTAACCACCTTAAAGCCCCGTGAAGGCTTAATAAAAATGGTTAGGAAAATATGTGTTGTAATTGTCTTTGTTCAAAATTATTACAACAACAGCACATTTCTTAACAGTTTGTGAGTTGTGACATTATCATCAGGTTGTTGAGTTATCACAGATGTCTTATTTCTGTGCAAACCTGCCGGAGCTTCTTCTGTGGTCCCTCACCACACAGTAAATCAAAGAAATGCTTTATTTCATCTCAAGCAGGAAATTTATGATGGCATCAGAGCATCCAGATGGAGGTTTTCCACACACCAAGTTTGAATCCACAGCTAATTAACCCCTAATATGCCTTTTATCTCTAGCTTGAAGGGACACAAGTCATTAGCAACAGATTTCATATTTAGTAGGATGACTAAGCTGATGTGTGGCAAGGGCTGGTGTACAATCCCAGAGGGTACACTAAATAACTTTTAAGGCTGCATTGCTGAGGTTTTACCAACAGAGGGCAACAGTGCATTTTTACTGCATTAGCATCAGTAGATATCGAACAGAAGAAACTCACCCTCAAAATCCTGTTGAAGTCCTCCTTGTCTACTCTGAGGAAGTGACAGTTGTCCTCTCGCAGGACAATGGAGGCAGCGCGTGGGGCATCATTGACCAGAGCCAACTTCCCAAAGTCGTCTCCTTCATGAAGTGTGCAAACAACACCCTAAGGAGCACAGTGTACTAATCAGTTACTGACTGCCAAATCAATGCCCTGGTCAGAGCAACATAATAAGCTTGATGCTTTTGCAATTTGCAACATCTTATGTGAAGAAAACTTACTTTTCCATAGATGACGACATTGACTGAGCCCTTTAAAATAATGTACCATGATGTGCCCTCCTCCCCTTGATTGAACACTGAGCCAGAAAAGAAACAAAGAAAAGCTACAGTAGTCAAGTACACCACAATATGGGATTTGTTGGATTAGTACTGATTGTGTATTTCATTTGTACATTCATTCATACAGTGTTCATTTTTTTTGAAAAGGCCATTTACTTCTTCAAGTTTTAGTGAAAGGCAGGAGCATTTCTTTTTATCAAAGTACTTACGCACTGTACCCGCCTTTGCATGGGATTCAAAGATCAGCACCCCTGCCAGTTCCCTCTTTACCTGTGCAAGCAGAGAAGAGAGATTTATAATAATTATCAATGTTAGTACAAATTCCCTTGGTATATGGTTGTACCGAAAACAGTGCAACCATATACAGTAAGTATTAATGTGCTGCTGGTGTGAAATTCATTTTCCTAAAACTGAACATAATTTAAAGTCCAAACAAAGGATGCACTTTGCAGCAATTCTCACTTAACACAAACTGATCATTTTACTTGCAGAACATACATCCGAACATTCATGTAACTTCACCACTCTGCTCTTAAATGTGCCAAGTGTGAGTGAAGTTTTGCTACAGGAGTCATAGCCACTGTCAGTGTCTGCACAGTGACAACAGGATTCATATGACCACTGAAGACAGAGGAACTGTACTTACAGTGGTGGATAGATGAGACAAGGCTGTTATATGGAGCAGCTCTTCATAAATAATCTCCAAATCATCTGCTGTTCTTTCTGATGGACTGGAAAATGGGAAAGATGTAAATAAATTGATAACACCAACACACTGATTCACTTTATTTGATATTTCTTTAGTGGTTACTGCTTCGGAGTCCTACTGTTTCCTCAGAATCATCCTCATGTGGGCGTCAGGTGCCATCTGTGAGAGGAGAAGCAGAGTGTCCTGGAGCTCCTCTTGGCTCTCCTTCACCTCCTCCTCACTGGGTAAAGGGGCATCCTCCTGTTCATCATCCAGGAAGCGGTAGAAAAGGTACTTGTCCTGGAAGCTCAGCTGCTGGTCAACTGCGTCAAAGCAACACAACACAGACAGCGGGTCTTAGAATCTCTGCCTCATGTGTAAAGGTGTGTGGACACAGACATTGCATAGAGTCTCACCATGATTGAGAACGCCTTCTTCCAACAGCACCTGCCACATGCCCACAGCCTGAATGCGAGAGTGGATGCATGAGCTCTGCTGCATTTGCCAGTCAACTAACTCAGTCCCCACACAACACTGTCTAGGAAAGACACAAGTCAAAATAAGATTTTAAACAAGGCTGGGCGGTTAAGTCCAATATTAACTGATCTTTTAGTTTTGGTTTTGTCCTCGCAAACTCCTGAGGGAAATATCTGGCTCTTTAGCTGTTAAATGCTCTACTATTTCCACCAGCTAGTCTCTAACTCTGTCTGTCAGCAGCTTGGTGCTGGACGTTAGAGATTTTTTTGTTGAAAACAGGTGCCTGCTGTAATTCTGACAGCTGGAAACTATACTGAGAGTAGTGGGAACAAACCATCACAGTCAAGTTGTGGTCCAGAAAACTAAAACAATGAGCTCCAAGATACTAAAATGATATAGGGCTGGGAGAAACTGTTAAGTGAGGTGATAATTTACAAAATCATCTGATCTACTTGTAGTGGTTATTTGTCCAGATCCAAATTCAAACTTTAACCAAACTTAAAATCAAAAGGTTACTGGTGCACCATAGGGATGGTAATGTACACGGGCAAAAGAAGTCCATGGTCCATATATGATATTTCATAAGGTTTATTCATCCATTGCAAGCAAGCAAACAAAAAAGTTAAGGAATCCTGCCTCCTGCTGCTGGTAAAAAACATGTGCATGCTGGTTCACCAGCCTACCTACAAACCTAAGGTGTCCACAGTTCCAACAGTGCCATCCAATTATTTCCAAAAATAGCCCCAAATAAACTAGACAAACAACACACTTACTTGCCTCAAATTGCCCCCTGAGGGACAAATAAAATGACCCAAATAAGGCAATCTTCCACAAGTATCAGAGTAGTAAGATGCCAACTAACCTGTATATCTTAAGATGGTACTTTCTGTCTCTGATCATGTGAGGTGCCTGGGAAAGGATGGCATTACGGAGAATCCTCCCAGCATGCATAACCTTCTCAGAGGGAACCTGCACAGTAGAATTACATTAGAGTCCCTACTCCATACTGACCGCTATATGCAGATAGTGGCGACTGTGATTACTACTTGAGAAATGAATTAGGGAGGGGTTAGACCAAATGAATGACTTCTGCAAAATAAATGGAATAAAAAAGAAGTGAAACTGAAAAAAAACAACACAGAAAACAATACAACTCAACATCACAGAAACTGTGAAATTAAAAGTTTGTTGTTGTAGGAGACAACAACATGTCAGACAAGCCAAGTCGAATCCTGTGGGCTGCAGGATGTCATTCTCACTGCTGCTGTGTGACTCACAGTTGACGTTGTGTTTATTAGCTGTTAGTTTTAATTGAATTTGTGGCTTTCTGTATTGCATCTGAGTTAAAATAATAGTCTTGATTGATGCTTTCAACTGTTTAAATGGGACACAGATACTGTGCATTATCTTAAGTGTTGTGTTTTTCTTTATTTTTTCCTGCTGGGGTCACGGGGAAGGCTGCAAGACTGTGACATTTCAAATGCATTCTGCGTGCTTCAGACAGCAGTGTTAACTCATGCATTTATGTGAAGGCTTTAAAGCCTCATCATTTATTTACTAGAACTTTAGTCCACTCAGTGGACAACAAAGCTGTACTTTCATAGCTATTATTTATCCATGTTAAAGTACATTACTGTACATGTGTGTTTGTTACCTTACAACCTATGGATTTATCTTTTTATGTAACAGAACAATTTTGCTGTGACAAAGCTCTGCGTAGGAACAAAGCATAGCACAGTGTTCAGGAAACGACAATAGGAGAAAGGTGGGACAGGAAATGTCCTGGCGGGGCACAAGAACTCCATTGGTCTTGTTTATATTTAGACCAACTTTAAACAAACTTCACATTGCACATATATTTCCAGCCCAAGAGGTGGGTGACAGTAAGGGATGCTGTCATGTCAAGCAATGATAAAAACAGCTGAGGCTTAACAAAACACCAAAATGTTCAACACTCTGTTAGAAAAAACCAAGTCCAACAAGCAAGAAATGTCTCCACCTCCCCTCTATGTGTTTCATAAAGTGTTAATACTACATCATTCAATAGTAAAACAGCCTTTTTATTAAATAATTAATGTGTGTCAGAGATACTACCTTATCCTGATGCTTGGTGACTGAAACAAGTGAGTTGTTGCTTATGTTCTCTTTGTTTGGCATTTCTAGGGGAATAAAACAGAGGACATGTTACAATACATTGATTGTAATGTGACTTAGAATCTGTAAAGCATGAGGGAGAGAAAACATTCAGAATGAAAAGGGAAAACACAATAAATTAACTGGTACTGTATTTCCTGTTCAAAATGTCAGTTATGAAATGGGTCAAAAATAATTAAGCCTAGGTGGCCTAGAAGCACCAAATTTCCAATATTACTACTTGGTAAATCAGCTACAGTATTTAGCCAAATGGATTCAGAAGGATAGTTACAACAGCGCATGGATAGAATTAGAGCAAAATTACTGTAAAAATAACTTAAATAACTCCAGGTGTCACTGTCGCTACCCATGTGGGCGTTGAAGTCCCCCAGTAGAACAACAGAGTCTCCAGTCGGGGCCTTTTCCAGCACCCCTCCCAGGGACTCCAAGAAGGCCAGGTACTCTACACTGCCATTCAGCCCGCAGGCACAAACGGCAGTGAGAGACCTATCCCCAACCCGAAGGTGCAGAGAAGCGACCCTCTCGTTCACCGGGGTAAACTCCAACACATGGCGGCTAAGCTGGGGAGCTATGAGCAAGCCCACACCAGCCCACCGCCTCTCACCGCAGGCAACTCCAGAGTAGTAGAGAGTCCAGCCTCTCTCGAGGAGTAAGGTTCCAGAGCCCAAGCTGTGCGTGGAGGTGAGCCCGACTATATCTAGCCGGTACCTCTCAACCTCCCGCACAAGAGATGTAAAAGTGTAATATTCAGTCATCTGAGTAAAAGCAGTGTAATACATTTACCACTGTCTTCACTCTATGTGACAGTATGGCAGAGGATTTGTTAGGAGATTATCTCTCAGTGTCAGACAACGTAAGCTTTTACTGTTGTGTTATCCTCCAGGACAAATAACATAATCAGTCATGCCTGCTCAGTCACAACTGTATCTGCAGGGAAAAACTCAGATATTCTTGGATGTGCCACACTGCTGATACTGTGGATACAATCAGCACAATTCATAGAAAATGGGACACAGCTATAAATGTAACATTACACTTGTGACTATACTGTAGCCCAAGGGCATGCCTGTCGCCATGGGTGGGCCTCAGGGGCCTGGGCCTGTCCCAAATAGCTTGCTGGGCCCATCCACTGACCTTCCAGACTTTTTTTAAATACAAAAGTAAAACAAAATCATCTGTGGTCTGTAAAAAGAATTAATATATAAACATTTAAAAGGGCAAAAGCGGTAACAGTAGCTGGGTGTTAACTAATGATTATGTCAAGAGAGGTCAGTCCGATGACCCCGTTAGGTGGACACAGGAGTGTCTGCTGGTCTGTTCAGCAAGATGGATAATTGTGTTACCCACAAAATTGGATTTTGCTAAATATGGATATCAGAAAATGGCTCAAATCTCCCTTTGTCACCAAAATAGTGAGTGGATTGGAATCTGCTTCGCATCCAGACACTGCAGGGATAGAAACCCACAGTGTCAGAGTTGAACATAATGTAGTGATCAGTGTTAGCACTAGCTCTAGGCAAGAATAAGATGTCAAAGCAAGTGGTTTGCACATGCAAACTGAAGCCAGTGTCCACAACAAGGGCACAAATAAACTAAAACAAGTCATGCTGAAGGCATGTCCAGCAAGAACATATGAGAGAGATCATTGAAAGGGAAGTGGAATTACAGTCTCAAATCTGCAGCACCTGTACTGCATAGCTAAAATTTTCCTATTGTTACCATCATAGTTAGACCACTGACTACTGGACAAACGATGTTCTACAGGGGAAAACATTAATAGAAGAGCACCAGTAGATGAGTGCAGCAGCCTCCAGCTGCTTGGCACCAGTGGGATTTTATTGTCTTGGTGTATTCACCCATAAAGTACATACGATAAACCCCCTAAGCACTGTACTGTATTTTACAAAAATATTCAGTTCCCTATGTTACAGCACTGCTAAAAAGCACATAACCATGATGAACACTAAAGAAGACATTCATTTTACCAGCTGCCCAACAGGCTATGATAGTAAATCAAATTCTAATTTTATGAAGAGTGATGATGATGATGATGAGTGATGACAGTGAGCTGAGTTTCAGGATGTATGTTCTTCTCAAAATGCATCTTTGTTTGGAGCATTAAATACAGAAACATTTTTTTTCAATGTGTCCACTATTGTGAACTCTGTTTAAAGCTACATTACAAAATAAAGCTATTGCCAGTAAGCAGTCTCTCTTCTGATGTTTATCATTTTATAGTACGTGGTTGTTCTGTTTGAGCAAGATTCAGTCAATATTTGAGTTAACCTGCAACAGAAAAGTATAAATAGAAGGATCGGGTTTTATCACAATGCTACAAGACAAAGGAGGGTCAAACAATAATGAAATCAGGCAGACAAAAATATCACATATTGAACAATAAATCCATGTTATATCACACTTTTTAAGAAATATAAAATCATATTATAGGTTATTTCTGAAACATTTTATTTAGTGAAAGTGAAGCCATTTACTGTAAACAGTATTAGGAATTCATTGTCTTAATCAGTTCTTACATTAAAGGTGCACAAACCTAAGCAGCTGGTATTATGACCTTTTTGACCAATGTTTTATCAAGTCTGAATGTCTTTTAAACATTTATGTGATATTTTATTCACCCTAAGTTGTTTTGACTTTTTTTAAATCCATCTTTAGGCTGTTTCTCAAGTTATTAATATAAAATGTACATTATTCATGAGCACCTACTCTGTTTAGCTGGAGGTGATGACTCATGTTTAACCCCCAGCCAATCAGAATATGAGCTAATGAATAATGCAAGTACTCTTGGGCAATCTTTACCTTGCATAATAGCTGCAGCTGGAAACAAGATAGTATATAGAGATAAATGTACCTGAGACTGATCCTGAATGGGAAGGAGAGAAATCTGCTGTTACACACTTCAACTAGATGTTTCAGAATATTGGATTGTGTTATAGTTTCCTAAATTTTTTTTCAAATGTAGTCGCAGGCAGCTAGCTTTGCTTTAGTTTGGATATGTTCATTTAGAACACCCCCTATGCTCTCAGTGTAACGCTGCACAGGGATGCGTTATGAGAGCTAGATACGGCGCCGCTCGGCCGTTCAGTGGACACTCCTGGTACTGCAACAACAACAAAAATCCACCTACTGGTAGGTCAAAAGGGCATTTTCTCCAGATGAGAATGATAACAGACAGAGGTCTGTAAAAGTGTTGAGAGGACACGTCAAGCTGAAAACTAGGCCAACTATTAATTAAAACTTTCCCAGAGCCTAGAAAACGGACTCTGACACACAGCCTGTCCTGTGTAAAAGGTAATACAATAACTAATAACTGTAACAAAGCTAGGAATAAAATATAATTATTGGGTTTCATTCACTTGCAAACAGTGATGCAGGGCTACTTACTGTTAGAATTACAACCTCTTTCCATCACACCATAGGGAGGGGCAAGCAGTCCAGTCATGCACTGATGATATTTCTATAAAAATAGAGAAAATATCAATCAATTAATAGCTCAATGAATTGTACAGATTTTGGACATTAAATCACACCCAAAACACAAACTAAACTAAGAGCCTACAGTCCTGATAGCATCTCTTTAAGGCTATGCTTTTGCTTATTAGCATGGTAACATTCACTAATTAGCACTAAGCCCAAACTACACCTAAGGCTGATGGGAAAGTCATTAGCTTAGCAGGTATTTGGTCATAAACCCAAGTGAAATTTTGGCCTAATGACAATTCTGGTTTGTTGTCATTACAGTTCACACTGCAGTATGAACATATATACCAACTTTTAGTAATTAAGACATTTCAGTCTCACAGTCTTTGTTGCCTGTTATTTCCTTTCTCTCTTCCAATAATTCCTCTCTCTGTCCCTCATTATGTGCGGTCTAGTAAAGGCATCCTCGTCTCAAGGCTGTCAGGACAAAAAGAAGGTCGATGAGAGTTTGGGGTGTTCGTTGATACTTCATCCTCATTAGTTATAACAAACAAGTATCAAGAGGGGAGAATGCCAGTGCTGATGATGATTGATTGAACAAACTGTGAACATGTGAAACTAATACAACTTAGTAAACATTAAATTCTGATTCTGAATTGTATTTTGATGGTGTTTTTTATAACTGATTTTAAAACTCAGTTCTTACACAATTTGTTAAATGAGCAGATGGACCAAAATTAATTTGTGGTAAAAGACAAAGAAAAACCGATTGTGTGTTCTAGGTCAATAAAAAGCTGATTGAGGGCCACTTAGTCACTGGCCAATTCTCTTTACCTTCCTATCTCCTGGTCAGAGGAGGCCAAATGAAAGGTAGAACTCACAAAGCATTTGTTCCTGGATAGTAATGTGCTCTTAGAGGTCATGTTTTAAAATTCAATTTTACTCGCTGACGTCAGTTAATCACTTTGACAACCCTTCAGGGGCACACAGCTTTTTTCTTGTTTAAAAATGGCTCAGTGACCTCAGTCAGTTAAAACAAAACATTTTTATATAGCTACTCCAAACTGAGATTTAAAAAAAAGATAGAGATCAACACTGTGCTCAGATTATGAAATGTGTCTCCTGTGGTATTTGTACACATGAAAACAAGAGACATGAATTACTGAAAGTTAACCAATGCAGCAGACATGACGCCCTCTGACAATTAAAGCATTTAGGATTATGGAACAGCACTTAAACTGAGCAGCACATGAACAAATGAGCTCAACCCCCCGAGCCAATAAAGCTGCGATCCCTGAGGGGCTGAATCCGGTACATTGGAGGCGGGGGTAGAGGAGGATTAGCACTGTTGTCAGGCATGTAAAAGGCACTCCATTTCTATTTTGTTAATAATCACATCTCAGACTCTGACAAACAATACACTTGTTTTACTTGTCACATTGGCAAGTTTTACAATCTCCATCTTAAGTTGTTGTTTTTTCAGGTGGGTTTGTATTTTACCTTTTGGCGCTATGTTGCAGTTTATTTCATCTTATGTTTTATTTTTTATTGTCTCATGTCTAGAGCTGAATAAATCAGAACTAAATCACAACAATATCATTTCCAAATTCATCAAAAATTGACCCAAAATCAAGCCAACTGATTTAAGATGCCAATCTAGAAAGCATAATCTTTAGCTTGAGCCTGTCACCTTGAGCTTCTAACTTTTCAACTTTACAGTGCTAGTTGACTTGTACCCTTTCTTGTTCCTTTGTGTTTTTAATCAAAGGGCCCGATTGTTTTATTGCATCTTAAGTGATGATGATTCAAAACTGAAAATGTCCCATTCAATAAGTGCTCAGACTGTTGAAGTCTACCAGCCAAACAATGCTGTAATTTAAACAAAAAGATATCTCAGAGTCATCTGAGTATTTTAAGAGTTTGATTCTGCATTCATCATCACACAGTTTTCATACAGTGTTCAGAAATGTCAGCAATGGCAGATGTGTCACTCTGTATTCTACCAATGAAGCTCAATCAACAGTTGTGTTCATTTGTGCTCATGTATTGACTTAGGTGCTCTCACATGTACTAATGCAATCATTTTTCCTCATACACCTTGTGCATAAAAACAGTGTTAAAGACAGAGTGAAAAAATCTAAATACACAGACCAAATCTCCATCTGGTGCACATCCAGCAGATACAGTTACTTAATCTGAGTCATGACAAGAGATCAGTGAAGACTTTATCCAAGTCCTCTCAGTGCATCCTCAGTTCAAGCTCTTCTACAGTCTTTCATGTTTGAGCAAGTTGTTGCATTGCGAGCACCCATATGCATGAATGCACTCTTGTATTTTCAATATTTCACCCCAGATTACATAAAGTAATAGTGCAAACTATTCTGGACTCATATAGTCACACTTCAGGCCACATGGGGAAAAAAACTAAAGGGACAAACCTCCCAAGAGCTTCACATTACCTCTGCACTGTAAGATTTCCTCCCACACATTAATAATTAGATTATAAATTTGACATTTTCATATTTTTATTTGGAACTTAAAGGGTAAATTTAAATGATTTTGAATACAAATCTGAATTTCCAGATAATTCTGCAGCATCAGTGAGAACAATTCTGCAGATATTTTTTACCTACCCCGCACCTTATTACATATTTCTCATTAATCAAATGCATTGCAGTTCAAAGGTTTAAGAAAGATTACCAAGAGATACTGCCAGCATCCCTACTGCACTACTGTTATATAATGACTGGGAGATCCTCCACAACCTCTTAATCCAGGCATTAACAAGCACTCCAAGCATGTACAGCCAATACTGAGATTCTCAGAATGTCACATAGTTGCATGCAGCGCAGTCCGGCATGATCCAGTAACTTCGTCACCTCAGCCTACATGCCACTCTGCAGCGCAGAGCAAGCAGACTGTGCCAGGCTGACAGCCCAGGTGAGTGTCAGTCAGCAGCTGATTTGTTTTGAGCAGCAGTTGCTAGATGATTACTCAACTCACAGGATGCTCAACCCCCACCCCCACAACCCACTCCCTATATTGTTCTTTCTGTCTCTCTCTTTCTACCCATCATTAATCTGTACAAAACTGATAGTAGTCAGTCCTTTTCTGCATAACCACCAAAGCAGGTCCTAAAGTCTGGTCAGTTGCACAGAATGTGAAGACCAATAAGACCAATAATCATAAATATGACAAATGATTGTAAAAATGTCCCTGCTGCTTTCATCAACATACAGATCTAACTACAGAATTTATTAAAACTTGTAAATGTTAGCCTCTATCTTTTCTGCACCCAATCCAACCCACAAAAAATGAATACACAGTACTATCAACCTCCTTCCTCATAAGGACAGAGACCAGATGGTGTCTTATCTTTGACTTTATTTATCAAAGCTACAAGACATCTGCATTAAAGTCCCTGAGCATTTTCCAGTGAACAAATTAGCCACAGTGTTTCCAAAATGTATAATATCTCCCAAACATTCGCCTTTAAACCAAAAATGTGTCACATTTTCATGAAAAATCACACTAAACACATTCACACATAAATCACACAAGCATCTTAATCAGCACATTTCATGGCTGCTTATGCGAATGGCAGTCCTAATAAATGTTATAAATGAATGATAGAAAATAGTTACTGATTGTTTATAAAATGCTCATTGATTAAAACCCGGTAGATGTGAGCAATATTTTCACAGCATGTCATCTGCATTTGATCACCTGATTAATAAACATAATACTAATCAGTATGATTTCTAATAAACCAGGTTGTTTCTATGGACTGATGATAGTGTCACACCAATAACTCTCACACGCTCGCAGCCCAGCACCCAACTGACCTGCCCCAAATATGAACACACATGCAGAATACATGCAACTACAAGCACTCGTAGCATAGTATTTTTCAAAGCATGTCAAAGTCAAACTTATTTATATAGCACAATTTAAAACAATTTTAGAATAACAAACAAGGCTAAAATTGTTTACAGAATAAAACTATTTACAATAAATAATTGCAAAATAAAACATTTTATAAATAAAAAATAGAAGCACAATAGAAGCATGTGCTCTACATATACCTATAAAAGTTTGCCCCTATGATGAGCTATTTGTTTTATATATAGTTATATAAAATAGCTATATATATATATATACATACAGACACAAACACACACACATATATGTGTGTGTGTGTGTGTCTGTGTATACACACTGGCTAAAGTGCTTTAAGAACAACTGGGAGCCAGTGTAATGATTATCTGACAATTAGCAAAGCTGTCGCTGCTTGACCAACTTGTGAAACAAAGCTAAGTCAGCACATCTAACAACAGAGGATTGATGCTAATGCTGAACATGGTTGTCTTGTTCCAGATGCTAAATTGCATCTGGAAACACTACTGAGGGCAAACAGAGTAAACATCTAATTTGGAGAACCTGTAAATCATCTGCATCTGAAAAGGAACCCTTAAAGATCTACTGTGAACATGATGAAAAACATGATGTTTCCTGCTTCACTACAAAGTCCGTTCTCAACATATGAACCACTAAGGTTTGAGATTTCCATGTTACACTTGTGTATATTTCATCTTGGATCTCGGCTGGTTCCAAACTAGTTGTGAAGTAAAAAAAAAAAAAATAATAATAATGTTTGTGCATATACACTTTAAAATCAGAGCACAGATCAAATTTTGCCCCTCAGCAGGTGAATATGAAAACAGCCATCTAGTATGATACATCGTTCTGTACATTGAAGCTCAGTCATCCAAGAGAAGAAACAATGAGCAAAATATATTTCTGAGCAAGGAGGGATTTCAACATGAGACTCTGGGTAATAACATTCTCCAGTACTGTTTGATTTAGTTTCATAAACAGATGAGTTGGAAAAGATGCCACCTACTATAACTAGAAATAATTTCTCAGCTGCTGTTGAACCAAAAAACAATCAGTTCACAGTGTGTCATTCATCACAAAACAACCAAAGCTAGAGAGATCTAAGAACAAGCAACAACAAACTGGGGGCCACAGGAGCCATAAAATCTAAGCTGAAACAAACCTTACTGAAGAGGTCGCCCTCAGGGCAGAGGTGCATGAAATGTGTAGCCAAGTAGTACTTCCACGTGATCCTCAACACATATTCAGCCACGGTAAAGTATCTGGCCACACTGTTTCTGGCCAGTGTGCTGACACAGAGCCCATAATTTAACCAGTTTATGCCCTGAGGTCCCAGAGGAAACAGGCTGTCTCTCCCTCAGGAAACCAGCCCAGTGCAGAGGGTGAGCTGAGAGAGGCGAGCGGCTTCTACACAACGTCACACATACCAGCCAACAGGAGCAGGAGATGGAGTGAGGAGTGATGCATTATTTCTGAGAAGGACCAACCTACTTGGGTTTGCCCATAAACAGCACAGTGTCTCTTTAGTATCTCGTCACATACTCTTACAACGACAGTATGTTAAATTTCACGTTTACCTTGACACACCAAGCTATACCTGTGTTGTGTTATTTTACATGAATAGTGGGTCTATCTTATACTTGTGTTGAGAGACTATCCATACAATGAAGTCATCTGTTTCTCCTCAGCACTGCACTTCCATCTAGTGGTCAAACATTGAACTTTCTATACACCAATAAAACCAATATTTTTATGGACTACTTTCACACAAACTTTGGAGCAGAAGGTAGAAGTATAATAAGTGGAAAGCTCATATTATTCCTGCAGGAGGCCAAGAATCCACAAGACACGCTGACTGCACACCGCCTACACTTTGGCTTGTCCTCAGCTCAATTTGTCACAGTTTTCACATTCAACATTTCAACAACATTTTGTGGCGACCTCTGCTGTCAGAGGCTCGACGGTGTTCTGACAGCTGATGTCATCTAGTTGTTGCTGTGGCAGAAAGATCATTAGTGCCAATTGGGTGCACCTGGGCCTGGTGCTACCAACCCAGTCAGCGTGTGACTCAACTCTCTTCCTCCCTGTATGTTATATTTCTGTGTTAGACCTGCTCAGGTTTTTTCTCTTTTGTTAATGCACCATACGACACTCCCACACTGTGCTTATTCCCATGCTCATCTTACACCTCAGACTTTACTGACTACCACACCTCATGCTGTTTGTATTCTTTTTTGTATTTATTCATGTAATTTTGGGTAATAAATTCAGCTTCTTTGACTGTCTAAGTGGTGTATCTCCATCTTTTGTCATGGCATATGAGCCAGGTTAAAACAGCTTCCTAAATAGACCACACCACAATGTTCATCAATCCATGATACCTTTGGATGAAATGGACCTGGTTTGTATCTGAAATTGACTGTCCTAACATTGTTTTGTTTTTTTTTAGTTTTTCTTTTAATAAGCAAAAATAATAAAATTGTGTCATGGTGGGTGTTTCCACAAATAGGATTCATTATAGGCTCATAATCTGGCTGACTTGTGTTTTCTCTTCATTATTTGAGTCAGTAAAAAATTCACCAGAGTTTCAGAGATCTTGTACCACACTATATCCGTTCCAGAAAATGTAGTTTAAGTGTATCCTTAGACAATTTCTGTAGGTTGATACAATCACAGATGGAGTAGATAGACATACTCACCTCCCACAGAGACCTAAACTCCCTTTTTTCAATACGTAGGAGCTCACTGAGTTCCCGTGTGACAATGGTGGAATGCCGGGGGGTGTTGTCCAGGATCGACTCTCCAAACGCTGTACCAGTCCCCAGTGTGCATATAGTAACAGCATCCTGTAACAGAAACAGAGATGGTGATCTACATGGACCATTAAGATAAAATATCCAGCTAGACAAGAACACTGTGCTATGCTACTGTCATGTCCTTATTCTGCTAAAAATAAATAATGCTTTTGTGCCTCGCACTTAAGGACCAGTGCTCCGCACTGATCAGATCCCTCTCAGAGGTTAGAGGCAATCACCTGAACACTTGTGATAGATAGATGGATACGCTCCAATCTGAAAAGAAATTACTCCAATCAGCACCCTGAGAAAGTGAGGTGCATGAAGCTGTAGTAATAAAAATCTTCAACAATGTCCACCTATCTAACAAGCAAAATGTTCTTTGCAGCCCACTCTCCAAACAAGCTTGGTTGTGGATGCTTTTGCATGAGTGATGAATTTCAAGAGGGCATTTCCTGATAAAATAATTCAAATCTTCACAAAAATACGGAAGGAGATTTTGAAGTTTTAAGTGCAAATCTAGAGAATTAGCATGCCAAATTATCATATATCTAAAAAAAGGATAAACATGAGTATGTCTGATATGCTATATGTGATATATGAATAGGCTAGACAGAAGAAGGAATGAGCCATTTCCATCTGCAACTCCCCTTTTTAATCTTTTACTTTAAAGCAGGGTATCATAGAGTATAATGTTTGTGAAATGAGTCATACATGATAACTTGATGTCTCAGACACTTTAACATCCAGTGACCCAGAGAGGACAGCATACCAACTGGTGCCAATGTCTCCTTGCCGATACACTGCAAAAACATAGCACATCTTTAAAAAAAAAAAAACAAGTTTAACAAAAAAAAACGGAATAAAATAAGTATCTGCACTCTTGATTTACTTTCATGACCTATTTTGTGTGTAGATGTGTGACAGATTGTGTATGACCTACAGGTGATGCCTTTCTCCAAGCACTCATAGAATCCACACAAGCTAATCTGCTGCAGCAAATTGGGGTGGAATCTCTCAAAGGCCTTCACGTTTTTCAGATGTGCCAGGATTATGTCAACATCTTCCCCAGAGCGTTCTGCTGGTCTGGAGAAAAAAGAAGAACAGGATAATGAACAGGTAACTACCTAAATAAATGTACATAAGGCTGCAGAGTCTGCTGATGTGCGATACGCCTTATTTGCTGTCTGATCCAATACAAGTAAAATCCAGGTTGGTGTCGTCAATACAAACTTTGTGCAACAAAACGAGGGAAAGTTGATGACAATAGAAACTAATGGAGGAGAGGAGACAGGCTATAAGGAGTATCTACAGTTTAGGGGCATGTTGCTTTTATTAACAGGTTTTTGCAGCCCAGGTGTTAAACTGTTGGCCATGGGATTCCATCCATACTACATACATACAGGGACGTTTTACATGCCACCTTGGTTGCTGTTTACTTCCCTCCACCCAGCAACCTCATATGACATTTTATATTATTCTTGCAGTAAAATGTATTTTCTTTAATCCTTTGGTTTAAATTAGGACTGACATAGTCTTGACTTTTGCTAGTGGACCATCCAAAAGTAAATCAGGAACATAAGCACAAAGTTGCTTTAAGTTTAATATGAAAGTAAATAGAGATGGGTTTGTTGTTATTGATGTTGTTTTGTTTTTATCACTTTAAGCTCTAACAATTTAAGTGATCTAAATTGTAACAGAAAACACGGATCACATTCACAGCATCACAGATGGGTCAGTGTGTGTTTTGTCTCTTTAATTGCTGTGTGTCTTGTATTACACCGCCCCACATTTGTTACACTAATTCCAGCACCCCTGATGTAACATGTGGGTGGCTGTACTGTAGCTTACATCTCCTTTGAATCCACGTTCTCCCTTTAAAAAAAGTGAAACCAAACAGTATCAACTGTTGGACACGGAGGCAGGAGAGAGATGTGTGGGAGCCTGAGTTTCAGAACCGAAGCCACCGTTATCTAATTGGAAACCGACTAAGTAAAAAATAAAAACTTTTGAAAAGTGCTGATACAGAGTCCAAATTTGAGTTTGAGTTTATTTGAAAATGGGACATTGATCAATGCCAACAACAACGATATTGACGTAAATGTGGCGGGATTATGTTGACAACTAATTTAAAACTGTAGTCCCTGACTAATTAAACCACCATAGATCCACATACTTCTTAAAACCTTTGATACTAAAAAGATGATATCTCTGAATGATACGACAATGATAGTAATGATTAGGTTTGGTATAAAGTGTTTTAAGTGTTTGTTTATAAAGTGACTACTGGTTTTAATATGGAATTTCCAGTTTGGGTCCAACTTGAGAGACAATAGCTCAAGTGTGAAAGAATCACTGCATGCATATACAGTTTTGCATGCATGTAATGATAAATAAGGTCTAATAAGTCTAAAATTAGGAATAAAAAGCTTAACAATTTTAGTAACCCTCTTAATATGATTCCTAAAAGTCAGAGTTGAATCTAAGTCAACTTGGACTTGGACTTGATGGGGTCAGTGCTCCTAGAAAAATATATAAAGACAGTTTTACTAGTATTTAAATACAAAGAGGAGGTACACAACCACTCAGAGATAACTGACATCGCATTTGTTTGGGGAATCCCAATATTGTAATTAATAACAGACAAACTGTCTCTTAAAAAGACCCTTTGATTACAGTTATTCAAACAAGATTTTATCCAACAAAAGTTTCATTTGAAATGCCCAGGGCAAACAATTTAGACAATAAAATTTCATTATTCATCATATCAAAAGCTGTCTTCAAATCTAAAAATACTGTCCCAACAACACCACCCCCATCCAATTCTTAATTAAGATATTCCAAGAAATAACAATTTGCTGTCAGTTACCCAAATTGTAAAGGATAAAAAACTTAATTTGATTCAAAATAATCCGTTAAATGATTATGTTCACCTGGAAAACTAGCAACAGAATGTTAAGGTGAAGCACAAATGGTATTTGCTAGGAAGAGTTGAGTCATACCTGAACCATTTGATTTGAGTGATGCAGGTGGTTATGGCACTAACCAGAGGATATTACTGTGTAAACACATCTGGCACGCTGTGTCATTTTGCCTTTTATAGCTGCTGTACTTTGGACCTTTCTTTGTGACGTGTCCCTTGCTCTCTCCCCCTTCATCCCGTGTGTCTAAATGTCCAGCATCCTTCACTGTTTGACACATACAATATTAATCCTCCATCATTTTTAGTCTGTGTGTGTCTACAAAGTGTAAAACCTATATGTTATTAAGTGTTGTCAAAAATTCCTGTGGTAAAATGAATTATTTAATACACATATCATTGCTGTTCTTCCCTGTGATGACACACACATGCACATTACAGTTGTGTAACACTGCACCTGTCAGTGGTGATACAAAGTCATGATGATTCATAGATATTTGAAGTAAATGTATTTATGGATATAAAATAACCTCAAATGTTTATAATTTTTTCTGACATTGTATGAATTGTCTTTGTATTTATTGTATTTCTTCTTTTATTACTGTATGCACCTATAATGTGTCAGAAATAAAGTTTGATGATGATTATAGCTCTGAAGGTCAAACTCAGGTCATGTCATATAGGTTCTTGCAGCTGCCTGTGCATACTGTAGTCCTGCTGCAGTGATCTGTGGCAGAATTTAGTCCAAAGCTGAATTCTCTATGAGCAGGCCTAGGCTGTAAGATAAACTAGTACACCCCACCATGATCACTGCCATCCACGTGACTTTTAAAATATTTTTTATGGTATACTGACGCTCATTTTGGTCTCATACATTAAGTAGTTCTGTGGCGCATTAAAAACATAGAAGTCATACAGTTTGATTGAAGACAGCAGTGCACCCACCTCTGAAATTATATCAGAGCTTGATCAACATGTCTCTGAAATACTGTTCCCAAAAGCTGCAGAGCCTGTTATGGTGAACTGGATTAGATTGTCCTGTACACAATGTACCAAATAAAGTGGTATCTCAGTGTATGTGTAGAATCCCAGTCAGTGAAGCTCATTTTATGCTTATTAGAAAGAGAGAGAGAGAGAGAGAGAGAGAGAGAGAGAGAGAGAGTGAGAGAGTCTATATCCAGGGGATGTATTTGATACTCTGTTCAAAGGTTTGGACACATGTTCTCATTGAATTGAATGAGAAAGTTTGTCCAGACCATCGACTGGTATTGTTCCTTTTGGCTGATTTGGGGTCTAGTTTTGTTAATCTGTTCTGCGCGTGTAGCCTGCCGTGCGCGAAGCAGAGCAACTCAAAGACTGAAAAAGCCTGAGGTAAATGATGATTGGTGCAAACCAACATTTAATAGCACATCAAACGCATGTCCACATTGATTATCGTTCTAAGATTTAGCTCTGACCATTTAGTTTACCCAGAGCTACAGCTGTGCAAACTCACATTTTAAACCTTTAGTAACAGGTAACATCGGCCAAACGCTGATGTGAAGCTGCGCACTGATACGAACGGTGGCGCTTTGATGAACGCTCTAACTAAAGCTCTGAATAATGAAGTGTCCGTTCTCCTGGGAAATTAAAAAGCCAATATCAGTGTTTTAATTCAGCTACTGAAGCACAACGCCCAAGCTCTGGTGAAATACCGTCATTATCCAGTTCCCCGTCGCTCGCGCAGTGCCTTAAAACAATTACTTTGGTAAGAAATAATTGAAACGGATTACCTCTTATCCAGACAAATAATCCACTCGGTAGATTCCGAGGAATGTGAAGAAGTGTGCGCTGCTACCATCTTGCGATGCTACTACTGATGCTGCGACGGAGGAGGAGAAGGCTGGACCAACACCGACGCACTTCATCTCACTGCTGACAACTGTCTGTGCTGCTGCTCACCTGCCCAGCATCGCCAGGAAAAGGTTCACTCAGGAGGAAAACAATCAGCAGAGAAGGAGAGGCCAGTGAGAGATGTGTGGCTGTCGACAAAACTGACTCGCTTTGCAAATCTGTCCAAAAAAAAGCTTTCATCAAAGATGTGGCGCAGGGATAATCAGCCCAGTTTAAACATTACAGTCTGTGTTTATAAAAAGGAGTTGTGACATTAGCCTCTATAGCAATATGCCAAAAAGTTCTATTAGAGAGGTGTTAACTGAACTTCATGGTCGTTTTAGGGGCTGTAATATAGAAGCCCAGTCAACTTTTAATATAATCATGCCGAAGGTATGGGTTATTTTGGGGTTAGTTGCATTAGATTGACGTTTTAGTCATGTTTACATAATAAAGTGTAAATCTTTTTTTGTCCAAGAATGTGACTGAATTACATGTAGCCTATTATAGTGGTGTTAAAGCTACAGTATGAAACTTGTTTTGCAAATATGTTTGTTGTAGAAATATGCTCCAAAACGTGTCTTAATGTGGAGAGGTGCTGTCGAAGCCTCTTGTGCTTTGAATAAAGTGACTAGTCATCAGGAATACACAGGGACATACTGTATATCCAAGGGCTTGAGCAAATAAATAAATAAATAAAACTGCCTGCATTAATACGTGTTTCTGCTTGTATAAGTGCCTGCAGCCGCCTCCTGCTGTGTGTTGGGAACTGGACGCTTGTCTTCAACCAAAGTACAACAGGAGCATTTCCATAATGGCCTTGAGAAAATAATACTTTTTCAACGGAGACCACATAATGAAGGAGTCATTGGTCTCTCTCTCTCAGTTACCATGGCAACAAAATGCAACACAGACAGAAGTACAGAGTCAGTGGTACAGCCCCACAGTGCTGTCTGTGCTTATGAAACTGTGAGGAAAATTCTTTGCATGCATCTGTCATTATAATGTTCTGGTAGTTTATAACTTTAAACTGAGAACATGTGTCTTTTTTTTTTCAAACGTTTCATAATAATATACTTCACAATGTCAATAAAACACAACTTGTGTTAAAAATATAGAATGTGTGGCTAGAGGATTGTTGTCCACAGTATCCAAGATACGGCCACATTTACAAACATTACTGATATAGGACTAAACTAATCTTAGTCCTGTATTATTGTAAAAGACCTATCACTTTATGTGATGGTGGCAACAGGTGGGGAGGCCACAGACTGTGTCTTTATGTCCTTAATAAATCAATATACTGGCTGTCAGCGATGCTATAGAAACCAATGGCTTTGCACCACAAAAGAATCCAACATAAGGCTTTCGGTGTTTAACTGTTTGTTTCCATAGTTTGGACAGTGCATATATAAATTATTCTATACTTTTTCAAATTTAATTTCGTTTTAAAATTAGGTTTCATTTAATTTTATTTCACTTTGGAGTGCTGAGTGGCACAAGCTATCAGTTGTTCTTGGTGTTTATCCTATTTTTGGAGCCAATATTTAAAATCCTGTTCTTTTATCTGCCACAAGATGGTAGCACTCACTTTGTAAAATGTAAGAAGATCAGTTCATCAGGAGAGAATGTGATTCAGCTGCAAACTATTGCACCATGTTACAGTTCAATTAAAAAATATTCTTTACAGTTACAGATTTTTTTATTTACTGTGTTATTGTATGCACAAGTTTTTGTGATGCACCCAAAATTTGTATTGAGGTTTTTGACCTTGCAGTCCATTTACTAGCTATTTAATTTTTCATCATTGAACCTTAAACTAGAAATATTTTGTCAAACTAATCCTTGCATAGTCAATTAAGAATATACTTGTATATGAAGGTGTAAGTTTTCTTCTTTTTTTTTTAAATAAAGAGCCACATAGCCACATCCCATCATGTAGCCTGGTTCCCAAACCCCACTACCAGGGCGAAAGTAATTCAGTACATTTACTCCAAAACTCTACCTAAGTACAGTTTTGAGGTATCTGTACTTTACTTGAATAATTTCATTTTCTGCTATTTCATAATTCGACTTCATTACATTTTAGAGGCAAATATTGTACTTTTCCTCCACTATTTATTTGATTTATGCGGTTACTTTTCAGAATTACTACAACAAAATACAATATAAGTATACAACTTTATTGATCCCTGGTGGGAAACTTGCAAGCTACCAAGCAGTAATTCAAATTCTAAGTATATAAGGTAGTTAAAACTGGCACCACCTGCACCAGCTGAAGCATTAAATGTGATGTTCACAATAATTTAATGTTATTTTATGCATTAATGTGACATGTGCTATTCTGGATACTTTTGTACTTTTATTTAAGTAACATTTGGATACAGTATGAAGTATTTTTACACTGGGGTAGTGCTAGTTTTACTTAAGTAAACAATCTGAGTACACTTCTTCCACTACTAGTACCGCCCTCCCTAAGGTAAATAGTGGGGATGAAAGGCTGAGATCAGGTCGAGGCATGTGAAACACAAAACATACATTCCTGTCCCACTGCATACCATCAAGTCACAGCAACAACAGTACAACACATAACAATGTATTAAGATGTCACTATGCACTACAGCACTTTGCAGCTCTGCAATTACTTCACTTAAGCTACCATTTCACAAACCATCGCAATTCACGTTCTCACTCAGATATTATTAAATCACACACCTCATCATACTCTTGGTATAGAAAAAGTTTAGAAGGCAACAACACAAATGGGTGGTTAATAGTTTTATTTATTGCAAGTAACTGTGAAAACAATCTCGCAGCTTTAAAAGATGGCAGCATTTAAACATTTGATTTGATTTGATTTGATTTGATTTATTCTTTCAAGCATGTAAAGACAGTTGATATGTCAACATACATAATTTTACACATATCCAACAAATGCTAATCCACTATCTATTTGCTTATACCTAGTACATGCTTGAATGGAGTAGGAAGAAGTCAGACTTATCTAGTCCTACCCCATGACATCATCTGACCATCATTGGTTTGCAAGCAGTATCTCTACATAGATAATTCTCTTCTACACCACACAAGTAATATACTAAAAAAAATTATAACAGAGTGTTAACATTCTTACATAATTACATTCTTAAATAATTATCTTCTACACCACACAAGTAATATACAAAGAATTATTACAAAGTATTAACATTCATACACCACACCCACAATGTTCCATCTGGTTAATCATTAAGCCTGTTCTTGCAACCCGGAACTACTGGCAGCATTTAAACATCACACATATTCACCGTCAAAGAACAACTCCAGGTGTGGAGGCTGTTAGCTGTTAGCTGTTAGCTGTGCCTGGCTGGACTGAGTCTGAGACATGGTGTCAGTTGTTCCATTTGCTCTTCACCTGCCCCCTTTCCATTTGGTTTGTCTTGTTCATCGACTGTTGTTTGAAGGGTTTCTATAGCGACCACTGGCTTGGTTGCAGCGTGCCATGTTACCCCTGGGAGAAAGCCCACCGAGGTTGTGTAAATATGACTTTTCAGACTTACAGTTGCTAGGAGATGACCCAGCACGCTAGAAATGGTAAACACATGCACACTTGCAATCTTTATGTGCACATAAAGCACATCTAAAATTTGACATGTTGGATAATATTTGGAAAGATAGTTGTTCATGCTGGTAGGCAGAAGTCATATGAACTCATGGAGTTATAAAATATGGAATGTTCAGGGTCATATTTTTATTAAAATATATTAGCTTCTTCTTGTCAGATGTAAAATTTGTTTTGGTTTTACATAAAGGAATAAAGCTTAAATTCCACAGTCAAAGGAAATGATGATGTGTGTTCCATAATTGACGCTGTTCAAATTTTTTACCACAATCTGACGGCAACCGAACATTTGTAGAATATCATAAAACAAATGAGTTCAGAACTTTGAATACAGAAAAATAATGTACAGTGTAAACAAACTAGAACTTACATAAACTATCCATATGAGTGGTCATAAAGCACTATATAAAACTTCACATATCAGATAACCACATCACAAATGGAATGTGAGGGCAGATAACTCCAGGAAATGCCTGAGGACTGGACTTTACCCAAAGACATTCTCTCTCAACACTAATTTTTAACTTTGATTTGTTGGCTAAAAGCATCTCCTAGAATGTGACATTATTTTTATAACATGTTTTCAAAAGACTAATAATGGAAAAAAGAAACCTAACTGCGGTGGGTTCAATGTTTCATCTTTTATAGAATTAAAAATGTAGATTGGTTTACACTTTAGGCAACTGGAAAAAAAAACAATCATGCCCACGAAAAAATGCCTGATAAATAGAGCACCATCTGCTGAAGCCTCTTGCTGCAGTCTGGTTCATATTTATCAATAATTACTACCCTGTTTTGTTACATAACAACCCTCATGTTTAATTCCATATATAATAGGCAAGAACTGTATGAAATGTAGCACTTCTAAACTGTGTAAAAATATAACTGAAATATACATCAAACTGTAGGAATGACTTGATGAATGTGTCACTAACGTTTGAATTTAAAAGCAATGCAAATTCACCATCTAGTAAAAATATTGAAATGTTCAGTTGAGATTTTCTCCCACTTGATCTGACTTCTATTTCCTATGTCAGTCTGATTGGATGATATTTTTGCAATGTAGGTTCTCAGCCACTAAAACAGTCTGACTACACATTCACTATCTTTGTGACTGATCTTAATAAAAACAGCTACGCTTTATTTTCTGAATTAAACAAGCAGGCACAAAACAGTGACGTAGTAGATGTCAGCCTTGCAGTACGGGTTAAATTACACCGTATTGTTCTCTGATGAAGGCACCTGATTTGATATATGAATGGCAAGTAAAAAAGAAATGAATTGTTTGGAGAGTTTATATCCAGCTATATTATATTTATTATATTAAGAGTCTTTTAATATTCTGTGAAACAGAGTGAGCATAATCAACATAAATGTCTTATGAAAATGTCCCAAAACACTGAGTAACATCAGAGTAAAGACATAATGGTGTGGGCTCTCTCCTGGTGACCTATTTTTTTTTTATTGAGGCCATATATGATATGCTCTTACTAGGCAAACCTGACTTACTGTACTGAGTGTTATTTGAAGGCATCCTGAGTCACAGTCCCTGCAGTGTTGTATCAATACCCTAATTTTATCTGATAGCACAAATATCACAAGTGTGGTACTATCACAAGTGTCAGAGATGCTGGTTACTAAGTGACAGACTGATGATGTGTTGCTATATCCTCATCATAGTCATTTTTCACCCATTTTACTTGTTTTCTGTGTATTTTTTGTTGTATTGCATCTTTTTGTAATTGTCTCTTTTGGTTGCTTGGCATATTTTTGTAGTCATTTTGTAGTCTTTGGGGTCGTTCCTCAGTTTTTGTCATTTAGTGTCTCCTTTTTTCATAGCTGTATCTTTTTCATTCTTTAGTATCTACTTTTCTCATTATGTGGCTTTTATAGTCATTTAATAAACTTTTCAACAGATATGTTAACCATTCCTTCACAGCTTTATGGCCTAAGGGCCCCCTGATCCCTTGGGCCCCTGGGCCTGTGCGTGGTAGGCCAGTTCATGTTGCTGTTGACATGGGGATGCAATGTATCACAAAACGAGTGATCCTAGAATCTGTAAAAGAAACTGAGAAAGGGACCCCAGTGTTTGTGTGTTACCAGGTGTGAAGTCTGCGAAAAGGCTGTTTCAGAATGAGGCGAGTAAACGGCGTTTGTTTGTTTAGTCTCCACCAGTCCAGTGTCATTCCCAAGTAAATCTGGGTGATCAAAAGCTGATTGCAGTGATAAATACATTTATCATCATATTTTTCTTAGACAAAAACAAAGTGATAGTTTTCCCTGATATTTCCTAATATTTTTGTGTTTTGTCTCCTACTGTGTTGTTTCACCTCTTCAGATTAACAGTCCTTTTTGTAGCAGACATTTTGACTTGACATAGTAGGAAAAAGCAAAGATCCCAGTAAGCCATCACAGTCCACTGACCTGAACCTTGGGGCCCCTGGTGTTCTGGAGCCCTGTAGCAGTTCTCTGATTTGTCCATTTGGTAATAAGCCGTGCCAGGTCTACTCCCATACCATGTCACGGTTACAGGATTAGGAAACTGTTGCTTCAATAAAATGTCCTGAAAGAGCATTCCAGCAATTTAGTGTTGCATTAAGTTGAGGGACTCAGAGAGAGACAGAGACACACACACACACACACACACAGAGAGAGAGAGAGAGAGAGAGAGAGAGAGAGAGAGAGAGAGAGAGAGAGAGAGAAAAAAAATCTAAATCAGCAGAGGCCAAGATACAAGCTACAAAAATAGTGGATCTCACCATTTCCACAGAGCAACTCAGTAGAATATTTTATTACACCCCCACTGGCCTGTCACACAAATTTACACTGTAGATTTTCTTGTTTTAACTGTCAAACTTCAACCAAGATAACCCTGATGACACCAACAGGACTGGAACCAATAAAGACATTACAACTTCAACAGGCTGAGAGTGCTCCTTGTGATAAATAAACTTCATGAGTCAAATTGGTGGAGTGCCCCTTTAGTGGTAAGCTATTCAGAGCTGGAAAGTAACTAAGTAGGCTTACATTTACTCATACTTATATACTGTAATTTTGATGTTTCTGTAGTCGAGTATTTTTATCTTCTGCTATTTCACATTATGACTTTGCTACATTTGTATTTTTTTACTAGTTATTTTACAGAATCAGATCAATAAAACAAATCATAGGACTTTATTGATCCTCACTGGGAAATTCAGAAGTTACCCAGCAATATGCAAGTACGTCAAATTATAAGTAGGCTAAAATTAGCTCCACCTTTACAAGCTGCAACATTAAAAGTGATGTACAAAATAATGCATCAATAATTATAATCCAATGTGCATTAATGTGAAATGTACCATTCTGCATAATGAGTACTTTTAGGTATACTTCATTTGATTCTAATAACTTACTTTTGTGCTTTTACTTAAGTAACTATTTGAATGCAGGACTTTTACTTGTAACAGAGCTATTTTACATGCTAACCTTCCACCACTGAAGATAATAGAATAGCAACCACTCTAACGACATGGCATTGACTAGTGGACGGTTCTAAGGAAAGCTCCCTTTCCTTGTCAAGTGCCAACCTTTTACAGCCTTGGCAAGGAAAACATGTACAGTGTTAATGAACTCGAGTGAGTTGTTTCGTCTAGTCAGGTCTGGTTTGGACTTTTTCCCGTGCAGCGGTCTAGGTGAACTCTGATATGCAGGAAACCCTTTCTCCTATAACTCCTAGTGTCTCAGCAGCACTGTGCTGTGGAGAAATAACGAGGAGGGTGTGGAGGGAGGAGTGGGGTGGTGGGTTACAGTCCTGGAATGTGCGCGCGCTCCCGACTCTCTCTGTTCTCGTTCGGCCGCACAGACGGAGGCGTGCGCGCGCGCAGCCCGCGACAGGTCTGGAAGTGCGGGGAGTAGGAAGAGGCTGTTGGAGAGGGGAATGATGGCGGTGAGCGAGAAGAAGGGACAACTTTGTTGTTGTAAAATTGGAACGTTGTAGGCGATTTTTCGGCGCCTAACACGATGAAGCTAGTAGGAGGTGAGAGCCTTTCAACGCCGTTTACCTTTGTGTAGTGTTGTGTGTTGGACGAGTGTTAACATTTTCACCGAGTCGTACTCGAAATGCCACAATGAAGTTCAGACGGCACTAACGGCTCTATTGAACTGTCGGCCCAGCAGGTTTAACTTTGGTTCTTTTTTTTATCTGTGGTGCAGCTAAATACCTTTAGCCGGCCCAACAAAGCACAGAAAACGTTCATAGCAAGTTAAAATAACTTTTAAAGGTTAACACGTTTTGGTTTAGCTAACGTCAGTAACGTCAGACAACCATCGAAAGGCATACGAAACGGCTGTTCACGCTACTAACGTAGACCTGACGTTACTACATATTCTTCACTTCGCAGAGTGTTTTGATTTGAACGCTGAAAGATATAATTGTGTATTAACACATTTTAAATTTCTACATTAGGGATAGTGAGATAACGTTGTCGGTCTCTCTATTAACAGACTTTACTGTCAGTTTATCTTTAGATGACTTCACTGTGACCGTTTAATTGAGACAACTGCCCCAAAGAATCTCCGCCGGACCTAATGGCACCGCTTGCGTGAAGTGAAGGAATAACGCTACACCTTAATCAACAAACTGCAAGAGTCTCTTCAGAAGCGCCTTTTCTAACTGGGAAGCAGTGATAAACAAGGAAAAATGATCAAAACGGAATCCAAAGGAGGCGAGAGGACCCTGAGGAGCGCGTCCCCGCACAGAAATGCGTACAAGTCAGACTTCCACGCAATTAAATGCTCATTTGATGGGTCAAAATCAGAGGGGGCTGCCAAATCTTATTCAAATGGATCCAGTGACACCCGGGAGGCCTCAAGGGGGAGACCTTTTGGGACCAGAGTGAACAAGATAAAGAACATATTCCTACAGATGGATGGTCAGCAACAGGAGGGCCAAGAAGCAAAAGTGACTTTAAAGTCTGATGTGTCCCAAGTGTCCCCAACCAAGCTGCAATTTCCAGTCAACACACAGAGAGTTAACTTCAACAGTGCCACAAGTACCGAATCACACAATTTAGATAAAACACCGAAGGGGGAGGATGTTGAGATTGACAAAGTGGCTTTGGCAGAGAAGTTTTCTGTGACCAGGAAACTCTTTGAAAGGGGCATCAAAGAGCAGCCTGCAGTTGACAAGCAGTCTCCAAACAGAGTAGTCAGTCGTCTGTCCCTCGGAAGTGCTTCTGATGAGGGGAAAAGCACAAGGAGAGTGTCAGGATCCTCTGAAACCACTATCAAACCAGAGCAGTCTCACACATCAACAGTTAAATGTCAACCAGATGAGAAGACCGATGGTGAGAAACGGCATATGTCTAGAGCAACACTGAATGCAGGTCCAATCTCCAAGAGGCTGGAGAGTTACATGGTTGAGAATGACTCAGTGGACAACAACACAGCTGATGCAAAAGGGGTAATGGTGTCTGTTAAACAACACAGTGCCACTGAACAGTTACTGCCTACCTCTCCAACAATGGACAGTGTATACAAACAATCTTCTGTTGTTAAAGAAGCCACTAACTCTTCAGCTGTAACTGATGCCACTAACAGAAATACCCAGACTGTGTGTGTCATCAACAAACCACCAGCCTCTGGGCTCAAATCAACATTCCCAGTTACTAATGCAGCTTGTAAGTCTCTTTCTCCAACAACTGATACCACTCACAAATCCTCAGAGCAAACAACCCCAATTAGCCATGGCTATAAGCGCTCCTCGTCATCCAGTGATGGAATTAGCAGGACATCTGTTGGTGGGGATGAAGGGAAGCCACATAGTCCCCCCCCAAGGGATGTGAAGCAGCCTTTTCCCTCAGCTGGTGGCTCTCAGAATGCCAACAGGGCCAAATACTCTGAAAAAGCCAAGAGTAATGACAGTGTAGAACACAGTCCTACCAGGGACAAGCCACCCAGTCAGACCTCATCACTGGACTCCAAGGGGGTGGGCATGGTACGAGCGGAATTGGTAGTTGTTCAGAATGCATCTTCAGAAAGTGAGGAGAGTGAAGATGAAAATGTTGAAGATAATGTGTTTGAGGAGCAAAAGGTGCAAAGTCCCAAATATCTACCAACAGGCCTGCAAAGAACCTTTCCACCAGAAAAACAGAACAGTGATCCTGCTCATGAGCTCAAACTGAGAGATGCTGCAAAAGTGACACAAAGGTTTGCAGAAACTGTGGGTGAGGGTAGAGTCCTGGAGGACAACAGGCAGTTTGGGTTGAAAGAGGAGAGAAATGAAGAGAGTTTACTTGAGAGTCAAGATGGTGCTGCTAATCGTGAGGAACATGATGAGGCAGCAGAGGAGGAAAGTGAGCTGGAGGAGCAGGTGAGCCAGAGCACCCTGGATAGAGCCTCTACAGTAATGTACGGTATTGAGAACGCAGCATTTGTGGATGACAGGGATGTGGACCAGGTCCTCAGGGAAGAAGAAGAAGAGGAGGAGGAGGAAGAAGAACAGGATCAAATGTATAGGGAGTATGATGACTGTTATGAAGTACCTGGTCTGTCAGACGAGGAGGAGCCTCCCACAAAGAGGAAAATCAAGTTCTCCACAGACCCCATTGTGGTAAGTTTTTTTTTTTGTTGTGTTGTTTACATCAGAACTACTGCTGCTCACCCAAAGTGTCATTACAAACCACTGTCTCACTGACTCAGCAATGGTGTCTGACCAAGGTGTTTCCCTGCAGACGCAAAACTAATTAGTGGAGGCTGAGAATGAATGTTTTTGTTGATGTCACAGCTACTGCAGTGTCTCATCAGACAAGCTTTGTCACAGTTCAGAAAATCTAAGCTATGGTCTGTTTAATCTTGTGACCAGGGAAGATGACAGTTTGGCAAACTTATCTCCTTAATCCTGTAAGAGATCAGGAGATATGGGAGACGTCTGGGCATATGAAATTGCAAAATTGTTTGTGGTATTTTGGAAGTTTAGTTGACTTAGCATAAGAGCTTTTGAGGGCACAGCCACATTGAATGAGGACAGCAGTGAGGAACAGACATGGGGAAACTTGAGTCTGCCCACTCCTGAATCACTGCACTGGATTGGTGTTTTTATTCATATAAAGTGGTTCCCCTCCATTTATGAATCATGGTGTTGCACTCATGAGGGACTTTTTACTGCTGCTCAGTCTGTATTGGAGGAATTCGGGGATTTGTATCACCTATATCTTTTACAGACCATGGCAAAATGATCATATATCTGCTGGGGAGTTCCTTATTTTTATTATCCGTTAATTTACAAGGATATAAAAACAATGTTTTTTACTTTTCTCTGAATTGCCTGACATTGTTAGTGCTTATTATTAAGTAGTCCAACATCTCTGCATTGAGGACAGAAGTCTTACGTTTGGGTTTGTAGAGTTGGGTGATATTGACAAAATAACTAATATTACTAGGCCTAGCCTATATATATGTATTAGTTATTTATCAAATCTTAGGAAGGGATGTCTCAAATGAGCCGTGTGCCAAAAGTCACCACCAATATGAGGCTTAATTTACCTTACTAGGAGTTTGGAAAAATGTATAAAACAATGCAGCTTTAAAGACTGGAGGACAGCATTATATTGCAATTTTACATTAATAAAAGCCCATGTAGTTTGGATATTCACATCATGTGTTTGATATATCTAGCAGCTTTACTATTTTGTATTCCGAACAGATTTTCCATTTGTCTGTCATGTGTAAATATTGCTAGTGGGTGTATTAGGGGTGTGGTGGAAGTGGAGGTATTATCTTTCACCATAAATAGCCCAGCATCACCATACCTAATCAACATTTTGCTAAAACGGGAAAAAAATCACTCCAGTGCATTCTGCATGGCTTTTAAACAGATCATTGTTTATCCAGGCCTTAAAATGTGCTGTTATCTCAGGGTGTGGACCTATCCCAGTCATCCTGGCAGGGGGTCCTGGGAGAGGGGACCAGAAGCTGACCTGGAGTGGGGGGGACACAAACAACAGTGTGCCTCCTCCTCCTCCCAGAGTGGAGCTATGATAGATAAACAGAGCTTTATAGTTCACAACAATAAGCTGGACTGTGTCTGCTCTCTGTAACAGTTCACACACTGTTCATGAGACCTGTGAGAGAGAGACCTAATGCAAAATGATAAATAGCTGGCACAAAGTTGTAGTTATTGATACTCATGTGATAATGCATAGCTGTTTTTGCTTGCTGAGAGCCTTGGCCAAATTAGATTTGGACTAACAGTGTGTATTAATAAGTAAATACTTTAAATTATAGTTAGTATGGTACAGTGTTCAAATAATTTAGACACTTGTTTTCCCATTCCATTTTTTTCATCTCTGTGAGCAAATATAATAATTCCCAGTGGAAAGTGGAGGATATATGAGAAACTGGAACAAAAGTAAGGTGAAGTTAAATAGCAAATCCAGTTTTCCATTAACTCTTATAAATTAGTTTTAGTTTGGTGCGTGCAATAGACAGGTTGGAAAGAACACAGTGATGTGTGCTATGATTAAATCCGTGAAGTAGAAGTTGCACAGGGAGCATGTTAGCCAGTTTAGTCACACAAATGTCCCTCAGTCAACATTTCTACCTGTGGCCCAGTTAACAAAATCCTCCCACTGTATCGTTCTTCACAGTTTGCTAGTTGAGGCTGGCTGTGATCAAGCACACTAAAGTTGTAGCAAAGTAGGAGAGAGAAAGTGCTTTATGCTTGTGGCTTGTGAGGTCCTAATGTAACCTGAGTCTTCTTGACAGAGGAGGTGTCCTGTGTGGAAGAAAGGTCCTCTTTGTGAAGGGAAGGAGATGTCCAGTGTCAACATGTATCGCCCTCATCAGGGTTGAAAAGAGAACTTGGATGAAGGTTTCTTAGGTAGTCAGGACAACTCCACACTGAGTGCGTTTACATGGATGTGAATATTCTGGTTACGACTGGTTTTTGAATTATCACGTTTTTGTGTTTGTGCATTTATCGACTGGTAAATATGGACGCCATGAAAGCTCCCAGAAGTGACGCCACCATCACTCAATTGCCCCCTGGTGACTGCTTGTAGTATAGATCATAAATCCTGCGTCCTCCATGTTAGCAGGTGGGACATGAGCCAAAATAAAAACTCAAAGTACAAATCAGATCAGTCTTTCCCAAAAGTGATTTCTGTGTTTTTTGGTAGATATCTTCACACTGATGTGTGTACAAGTCGTCATTTTTTGGTAAGTTTGTTTTTAATATATTTCATGATATAAAATGGGGTGTATTTCGGATGACAGCTTTGTCAGTCAGTCTGATCCGTCACTCAGCGACTTGGCTGCTACTGCACAGAATCTTGTTGCAAAATGTCGGCTGCCATATAAATGATATTTTGGTTTCATTTTTGCACAGTGGAGGGAAGTGGTGATATGAAGTCAATATTTATACAGTCAATGTAAACGTAATACCCCGATTTTAGTTCTAATCCTGATTTTGAGAAACCCTGCTATGCTAGGTGGAGTACTCTGAAAGAAGCGTATCACTTTGTAGCAATGAAAAGGCAGAATTTTGTCTATTAGTAATAAAAGGATTAGATGTACTTGGTATTTTAGATGTGAGAAGGCATGGAAATGCTGATCTCTTAAATTCTGTCCTGGACAAGTTGCGAGACACCGGTTTTCCAACAAGTCATATCACAGTGGAAAATCCTGAAAAAAAATTACTACATGTGTAGTGTTGGATGAGTGGCATAGTTCATCAGAATAAAAGAAAGAAGTGTGTCTAGTCCAGCAACCTTCAAATCTTCTGAATACTGGATATTATGCTTATTGACAGTCCACTTTCCTCTGTAGATGACAGAGGAGTTGACATCAGCGTCCCCTGTCCAGCGAATACTGAGCTTCCAGCAGGTGATACGATAACTCCAGGCAGCCCTAGCTTAACGCTTATTAACATTAGCATGTATATATCCTCAGTCTTTTTCATTGAAAAAAAAACAGATTGGCCTAAATACATTTTTCAGACATTTTTCTAATTATAATACATTCATATCAGTACATATAGAAGATAACACAGCTGAGGGGGACAATGAATTAGTAGTCATCAGAAACCAGGATACTAGTTTTTACCATGTATACAGGGATATGCATAACCAGAATTCTCTGTGTTGCCTTTAAACATTATATACCAAATATCAAAACCAGGATACTCTTAATAACCGGGATCCTCATGTGTATGTGAAAGTTGTGTCAAGCCAAATATTATAGGTTTATCATTGATAAATGTATTTTTCTTTCTAACATTTGAGTATTTTCATCACAATGCAAAAATAGTTAAGATAAATGCATGGTGTACAGTACTTGAAAATGGCACTGCAATAAATTTTACATTATGTTTTCTGGGAAGATTCTTCTGCATATTTGGTAGCATAGAGTCGCACTTTGGTAGGGCACTGAAATACTGGATTCCAGTTGCTGCTGTGTAATAAGTTTGCTATACCCTCTGGCTGTAAGAGCAGCATAAATATTGCACTACTATTTTAAATTACATCTTAGGTCATTATATTGAGGAGTTTGTTTTCTCTATAGCTGGAAGTAAAAACTGGGCCTATAATAATATATTGTGTGTCCAGTATGTCTCTACCCAGAGAAATATTTCAACCTCGGGTAACTTGTGTTTAACAGTTTATAAGTTTGTATCTAGTAGAATCTGAATTCGCTCTGAATCCTAGATTGGCATTAAACCTAGAGTGATTGAATGATTAACACTTACTGCTGTACATGTGATATATTACTGGGGACAAAGACATTTTCAAGGTAGTGATGTTGGATCTCTAGAGAGGTTGTCTTGGGTTTTGTGTGTCATGTCACATATGACATTTGATGCAGGAGTCAAAAACCAGTTAAGCATAAGAGTAAAGAAAATGTTTGAAACCAGGATCAGGATCTGCACCTGCTGCCCCACCCCACAGAGTCACAGGACCTATCACTAGCATTTATTGGTCAAGTAAACATATTATCCCTTCTTGATCACAGGGTGTGGTGAAGGATTGTAAAGTTCATTGTTATCTAGGGTTGAGTACTGAAACCTGGTTCCAATATGGCACCGGTTCTTATACGGTCGGCATCTGCTGGGCTGAATCACAATGCAGATTTCTGTGCCTCATTTTGGTGCCACTTAAAAGCCTGTGGATTGAAATATTTGCCCTCTGGTGCAGTGAAATGGATGATACAGGCAACAGAAGCATCACTGCATGTCATGTGCTAACGCTATCCAGTTATGCTCCGTTCCATTTACCTCGGAAGTCAGTGCTGGGAATGACAATCACACCCGAGTTAACTGTGTTCAAGTTAACCATAATACCAGTTGAGCCATGTTAGCTGTTGTTAGCAATACCAGTTTATACCAACACCTTATGTGGTATTTTGCACATGCAAACATTTCAAGGTAAAATGCTTTTAGATATCCGCTGGGAACTATTCGACAATTATTCAGAGATCTGCGACTTTAGCAAGCAAGGAAAAACAGTGGCTCTTTGTTTTTAAAGATAAAACCATAGTCATAGTCAAATATTCGATTTTCCTAAATTTAACAATTCACATATTCAAAAATAATTGCCCATCTCTAATACAAGATGT